ATATAAAACAAAGTTCTAAGCTAATAGATCTTCGCGTTCTACTTTAAAAAAAAAAAAAAAAAAAAAAGAATCGTTAAACAGAATCGAAAATGGAATCGGAATCGTGAAAATCTTATCAATACCCATCCTTAGTGGCATCTCATACGGTCTTCTGCCGCTGCTGTCACCTTTCTGCTTCACAGTTTGCCGTGTTGTGAGTCAAACCAGAGCAGAGACGCTCTTCTGCATTGCAACAAGTGGTTGTTTGTATTGCTGTTGCATTCAAATCAGCTCAAAGCAGTTTAGCTATAAGTAAAAATGTTCTTTTCCTTTTTTACAGTATTTTATATATTATACTAAATATTTTAACATTTATATTTAATGTTTCTTATATTTTTTTTAAACATTTTTATTTATAACTCTCTGTTTTGGGTCCAGTTTGGCACACATTGCCCTGTCCCCTTGCTATCAGGCTCTGAAAATTAAAATAAAATAAAATCAGTAGAAGATAGCGGCAGTACCAGGAAATAAAAGTCTCAATATAAAATACGGCTTAACCATTTTAAAGAAACATTATATATTTTGCAGATCTTCCACTCTTCCCTAAGAGAGGAGCTCCAGGTTACGTAAAGACAGCATTACATTAATGTTTTATGATGGGAGTCCCTGTGGTTTTACACTTATGAAGAAAGCAGTTTCCTATGGCCGATGGCATCAGACAAAAACCCTGACTTACAGTGTGCTTTGTTAACCACATTTTTTAATGTTTCACTGTGACTTTTTCCTCCATTCCAATTTCTTACCATCATATTCAGCGTCTCAACAATTTCATAATAGTAGATGCTTTTTAGTCCACCTTCTGTGACTGCTTAGCTTGCTGGTCTCACACCAAGTATCCAAAACAAGGATAAAACACTGGCTTCAGCTGCATTTTGTCATCCAAAAGAATGAAATGAAAATAAAATGAGCACAGTGGACTGAACTAAGCAGCTGACACTCATTGAAATTAATATTTCTCCTTGCTATGTGGTTTTTTTTTCCGAGCAGATCAATGAGTTTGCTCTTACCAGAACTGGCAGGCTCAAAGGCTTCCTGCTCCACATCCATCTGCTCGTAATGGAGGATGCAGACCCGCCTGTCTATTTGGTAGAGCAAGGCGGGACACAGATACGCAAACTGGCGGGGGGAGATGAGCGAGTCGGGATTGAGGCCGTAGTAGGTGAGGAGCTGAGTGAGGTTCAAACACTGGAGTGAGAAGGTGAGAACATGAAAATATAAATAAACGCAGGGAACCACTGAAAAACATTACAAATAACAGAATCACTTCTTCTAAAGTCAAATTTCACTCAAACACAATGTGAGCTGCAGCAAAAGACAGATTTTATGTTAAGGGAATTTCACTTTGGCAGTACTGACTGATCCAAACATCCACGAGGAAAGCCAACCATTCATTTAAAAATGCTGAGAGAGATTCCACACACAGAAAACCAACACGATATAATAACTTAAGCAGTAGTGCAACAACAAACACTCGACTAAGCACTGATAACTTATTAGAACAATAGCATTTAAATAAAAATCTGGTTTCTTGTGTCTGTTTATTTAATCCTTCTTGTTTTTTGTCCTTTTGTGAAAAAATACACATTTATTACAAACAAGTGGACTGTTTTCAAGGCTTTCAGATTTCCCAACACTATATTTAACTTCATCAGGGGGTTTATGTAATAGTTTGAGTTTGTCAGTCTGTTTTTTTTAACAGGATTGCTTAAAACTTTATGGACAGTGTCACATGTAAATTTGACCAGTTAATTGTTTTGATGTTCCCAAGAAGATCAAAATCTAGTCCAGATTCAAATATCCTGCTGGATCCATGGGCTCAATTAATGTATGACTTTGATGTTATTTTTAGAGTTTGCAGGAGTAACAGATCAATAAAATAAAAATTAAAAAAATGGCACAGGCTACCAATCAGAAAATAGGTGGGTTAAAGATGGGGGGATGGAAGCTTCAACTACTTGTTTGACACAGCGGAGGAGCTCAGAATGACCCAAAACCATCACAAAAGTTAAAAAAGCAAATTGGAAACCACAACAGGTGCATTTAATTAAAAAAAAAAAAAAATAAATAAATAAATAAATAAAAAAATAATCTTACCTCCTCATGCTGATGGGTTAATCCACCTGGATGACCAGCTGGCATGGAGACTGGCAGAGTGGGCACGGGAAGTGCCCCCGGTGCCTCCCTCTTATCTTTATGAGAGTGGCTGTGACCATGTGTGTGGTTATGGTCATGAGTGTTGTCATGGTCGTGGTCATCAGATGCAGGTGTGTGAGAAGATGTGGTTTTGTCTCGCCCTCGCTGTCCTCTGACTCTTCCCGGTTTCCGGGGTTTCTTGGGTCGGTTTTCTGTCGGGGTGGGCTGCAGCCTCTGGGGCACCTGAGATGGCTCCAGCTTTTCCTGGTCGAGGTGAGTGCCGCCTATGTCTGTGTGCACTTCGTGAATATGATTGTAGTCATGTTCATGATCACTGTGGTCGTGATCAGGGTGAGGCTGAGAAGACAGGTCCCTGTGGTTGACCTGTTGGTGTTTGTGCTCTTCATCATGTGTGTGATTGTTGTGGTCGCCAAAGTCGTGTGTGTCATGTTGATGGTCATTCTCCTCTACCTTAGTGTGATTGTGATCATGATTGTGATCATGTTCATGTTCATGGTCGTGATCGTGATCGTGATCATGTTCATGTTCATGGTCGTGATCGTGATCATGTTCTGCCGGTCCAGCAGTGGTTTGGCTGCACCGAGTGGGAACTCCTTCTGTGTGTGGATGCTGAGAGTCTTGTTTTTGGTGTGGACGCATCTGTGTGGTGTGACTGTGCCGGTGGCCCTGGCCGTGGCTGTGGCCAGCGTTAGTGGATGAATGTCCGTGCAGCATATCCAACACCTCGAGGTGGGCTACATGGTCATGGCCCAGATCCTCATGATCCAAACCTACAACCTTCACTTCTCCCAATCCCAAGCTAAACAACAGACTCTGAAAGCCCTTGAAATCTAGCCGGTCTTCCTGGCCATAGCGCCTGAAAAGCTGCTGGATGTAGAAGCGCTGTTCCTCCTCAAGAGCATCCCCAGCTTGCCCACTCTTGGACCCTGGGGACTCTGTGACCCCTCTCACGTATGGAGCCTCAGAAATCTGCAGGTCGCTGTGAGCGCTGTCATGATCATTGTGGTGATGCCCATCGTGCTGATGGTGGTGTCCTCCTTCATGGCAGCGGCTGCACTGATGGAAGAGGAACGTGAGCACACACAGGAAACAGAACTTGGTGTGCATGTGGACTCTCATTGTCCCCTCAATTCTCGTCACCTGCAATAAATAAATAAATGGATAAATAAGTAAAAAAATAAGACCGTGACAAAAGCACTGAACTGATCTAAAGCCTGGATTCCTGTTGTACTTGCCTGTTATAGCGTCAGGCTCCCATGGAGCTAATGCATACTTCTATGGTACACTGTAAGGTAAATTCTCCATAGATGGGTCTGCGTGGTCTCACAAACTAAGCAGACATGTGGACATCAACTCATGGACACAAGGGGAAGTGTAATCTAGCCTTTTTAGTCCCAAGTAAAACTTCACAATTAATCTTTTCTTTTAAGATAATCAGCACCATTGAGACTATGCTGATTAGTGCATCAGCAAATCAATCTACGAGAACAAATAAAGGCCTTTTATTTAGCTTGTAAAAGTGTAATGTATTTTGCATCTGTTTGTTTTCCTTTGTTCTTTGAAACGTATGATAAGTTTGTAGTGCAGTAAAAATCATTTTAAAAATAATGTTGTTATTTCACTTCTTGAAACCCATTTTAATATACTTGATATAATTTTGAGTCTAATGAGTTTTAATTTGTATTAATTTATGTGGCTACACAACATGTTTGATCATAAGTTAAAAAAAAAAATCATACTTATTCATTTGGAATATTATTTTTTGCAGTGAGGATATATTTCCTCATTGTCACCAAATCACAGTGAGGATCCGAATCTTGATTTATTCATCTTTTACAAAATATGTATTTATATGCAAACAAAACTTATTTAGTTAGTTTCCTGTTACTGTTTCCCTTGATTTGTTTCTTTGGATAGCAGCTTTGATTAAACAGTCGACGATGATTAAATCACCTCAATGAGACTGGTTACAGTCAACAAACAACACACATTAATTATGGTCTGTCCTTAGGTAAGAACAAATAAAAACGGACACAGTTACAGTTTCACAGTGAAACTATACTTTCTTGCAATCTTTTTCAAAATGTGGCAATGCAACAAGGAATAATAAAATCTTCCAGAATAAAAGCAAACAACCAAATGTTATTGGTCTATGTTACATACGGGAACACCATATAAAATAAGTAAATAAATAATACAAACACGAGCCACTAGTATCAGATTACACAATCCTGAGATCATTAAAATCTGTGATCGATATCAGGCCTACTAACACAATAACACACTGACATCCTCCAGTTTAAAAGTTCACATACAATGTTAGACACACACAAAAAGATGAGAGATAAAAAGCTGGCACACCACAGATAAAAAGACGATTCAAAGCTGCTACCTCCAGCTTAGAATAACAGATCTAATGACTGAATCACAAAGCCTTCTGGAGCATAAATTTGTGTAACAAATTGCTTGTTTTCCCCCTACTTTAAAATGCCTGAAGCAGCAGTATCATTCCAGTCAAATGATCCTCATAAGGTCTCTCGTGAAGCCCGTGGGTGGGTGATGCGAGAGAGGAGGGGTGGAGAGAAATAAAGAGAGGTCATGTGAGGAATACTGCTGGATAATGGTGCGATGGCACACAGAAGAGACCAGACAAATGTGTGTAATCGCTCCTCCACACACTTCAGCTTGTTAGTAAAGTTTATAGAGGATTTACAGCATGCACATCATGAGGGAATAGATCTGTGTTGTGCAGACCACAAATACTGTTGTAGACAAAGAAGATGATAGATCCTTCTCACAGCTGTCAAGGCTACTAACAACAGACTGCACACCGTAGGCATGTGTGAGAACCACAAACAAAGAACATCACAATTTAACCGCATTGATTTCTTTCTGGATATCCACAAAACAGCAAGAAATATCAAAATAGAAAGTCAAAGGAAACAGATCTGTGCACAAAAACTTTCCTTGGTTAAGAGTATAAGGAGAATCTATCCAATGACAATATTTTATCTTAGGATGATGCATAGTTTTTCTTCCTATAAGATAAAAATATCTCCTTACATGCGTAACACAGGAGTCATACCCACAACAAAAAAAGCCTTTTAAATCTATGCACCCAACCAGTGACGGCTTCTGATACAAATATATTTCCACTCAAATTTATAACAAAAGGAAAATTCTAGAAGAAGCCAATCAACATAAAATCAAAGCCCTATTCATTCATCAGTGCCTTGATCACTGTCCAGACAGCATCAGTAGCTTATCAGCCAAAGACTATTAGCTCATAATGGAGTTCAGAATCAGTGTGTTACAGACTTTTGCAATATAATGCCATTTTTTGTTTTAAATGAACACCATAATTGTTGCTCTCTGCACCAATTACAGTAAACACACCCAAACCTCTACAAACACATTTAAACCGCATTCAAGCAAACACCTTCAAAAGGTGGTTAAACATTTCAAAACCACAAAAAAAAAAAAAAAAATTCAGTTACTTAATCCCAGCTTCACTCTGAAACTAAAATCAAGCCAACTTACCACAGTGTGCTCTTGAATGAATGGTGTGTGAAATTTGAATGAGGGCGTTCTGACTCAAGGTTGCAGTAGTTAAGTGTGGTTAGAAGCATACTTCGCCGCTGCCGGCAAGACGGTGTTTATAAACATGAGACAGCAGTGACCTATGAACCTAACAGCAGATAGGTTGGGGCAAAGCAAGACCTATTTTTAAGAGCACACCCTCTCAGCAGCAACAGAGCCTGCAATGTCTCCTGACTGGAGTCTTTGTTGTGCTTGGCCTTTATTGGAAACAACAGAATCTCTATCGAGTGCTACAGTTTAATTGTGTGTTACAAAAGCTAATGTAAAACGTAAGCAAGACAAATCAATTTTAAGGGATATTTTTTCCTCTCTGGAATTTTTATGTTCACATATACATGAATTTAATATAAAATAGATTTCACTGAGCGGTCAGAGAACTGTTTAATCGCAGTTGTTTCAGTACATGTTAAGAAAATAATCCTATTATCACCAGTGTTACACACACACACACACACACACACACACACACACACACACACACACA